TAATCACATCAGATACCACAAAATGGTGAACAACCACACGATACTAGGAATCATGGCTTAGCCATGTTCATAACGTTTTTCAGGGACACAGTTCAATCCATAACTTCCACCTTTTGATCCCTCCCCCAAATTCATGTGCTTGTCACATGTAAAACACATTCACCTTATCATATCATCCCAAAAGTTTTAAATCAACTCCAAGTGCCCTGGGGGGAAATTACTCTTCATCTGTGAAGTCTAGAATACATGTAACTTGCTTCCAAACTACAATGATGAAACAGGCACAAATCAGACATTGGGAGAAATTGCAGAGAAAGAAGGGGCAACAGGCACCAAGCAAGTCAGCAGAACATGTTATATTAGCTCTCAAGGCTTGAAAATAATCCTGTTCTCTGAGACCATTTAGACAGTGACCCTGCTCTCCGGACTCTGGGTGTTGACCACACTCTCCAGATTGTGAGTGGAGGCCCCTCAGCCCTGGGCTTGAGCTCCGCCTTCCAAGCCCACTAGAAAGGCAACTCTGCTCCCTCGGCTTTGAGTGACCACATTCTCCTAGTCTATCTGATTGGTGACCATACCCACTTAGGCTCAGCAGGCACCCTTCTTCTGCCTCTTGGGCATGGTAGCCCCGCCCGTCAACTTCGGATAGTATACCCAGCCCCATCCCACTGGCACTCATGAAAGGCAGCCCCACACTCCAGAACCGAGTTGGTGAAGATCTGACTGTTTAAACCTAGGAGGCTGTAGCCCCACCCTTTGAGATCCATCAGGCTGTGTTTCCCCCTTTGAGACCCCAGAGGTTGTGGCCCTACCCTTTGAGACCAAGGCAGCTCTGCTTCCTGTGCTCCTTGTCTCTTCAGCTACTGCTTCCTGGTTCCTTGGCCTCTCAGCCTATTGGGCCCTTGGGCCAGCCTGGTGTCTGCCCTGCTCGGGCAAGTGTTCCACAGCTCTTTAGCTCTACAGATAAGTGCCTGGAGGTACCCCACTCCACCAGTAAGCCTCAGCACAAAGGCACTTAGATCTTCCTCCGTGAGTCCGCAAGCCTAGCTCCACTGATAAGTGCCTAGAGGCACCTCACTCCTCGATGAAGCCTCGGCCTCAAGGCACTCAGCTCTCTAACTCCATGGGTTGGCTCCCGCACTGTCTGTTGCTAGACTCCTGGTTCTGCTGCTCACCGTCTGCCATCTCCAGTGTTACAACTTTCCTCCCTTCCTTCTTAGCCCTCACCAGAATTGTCTTGGATGTACATAATTCTACCAACAGTCTCTTCAAGGCAATCTAGGCTTTTACTGTTAGAAATTTTAAAACTCTTCCAGCCTCTACCCATTCAGTTTCAAAACTGCTTCCACATATCAGCTGTTAGAGCAGCACTCCACTCTTCGGTACTAAATTCTGTCTTAGTTATCTAGCTCTGTTATACCAGAAATACTACAAGTGGATGGCTTTAACAAACAAATTTATTCTCTCACAATGTAGGGGTCTAGAATTTCAAATTCAGGGCACCAACTCCCAGAAAAGGCTTTCTTTCTTTGTCAGCTCTTGGGAAAGGTCCTTGTCATCATTCTTACCCTGTTTGAGGAGCTCTTCTCAGTGCAGGGACCCTGGATCCAAAGGACTCCACTCCCAGTGCTTCTTTCCCGGTGGTATGAGGTCCTACTCCACTCTGCTTGCTTCTCTCTTTTATGTCTCAAAAGAGATTTACTCAAGATACAATCTAGTCCTGTAGATTGAGTCCCACCTCATTAACATAACTGCCTCTAATCCTGCCTCATTAACATCATGTTGTTAGGTACTGTCGAGTCAGTTACAACTCATAGCAACCCTATAGGACAGAGTTGAACTACCCCATATGGTTTCCAAGGAGCATCTGGTGGATTTGAGCTGCTAACCTTTTGGTTAGCAGCAGATCTCTTAAATTTACAGCATACAGGATAATCACATCAGATCACAAAATGGTGGACTACCACACAATACTGGGAATCATGGCCTAGTCATGTTGATACACATTTTTGGGGGGACACATTTCAATCCATAACTTACTTGTCAGAGAAGTTGAGCCCTTTCTTTTCTTTTTCTTTTTTTTTTTTGGTGAATTATTTCTGGAAATGTTCTGTGTATGCACAAGTACAGATGGTTTAGTAAGGGAATATATGTACATACATCACAGTCGTTTTAACTCAGTGAGATATGTTGTTTTTTGTTTGGTTTTATTATTATTGTAAACAGCTAGAATGAATTTCCTCTTTTTTTTTTTTTTAAACATTTGTGTAGCTCTGTCCTTTGAATTAAGTTCCTTGCAGTGGAATTACCTGAGTAAAAGATATATACATTTGTTTATATGTGTTTGTATGTATAGTTATTACCTACTTGCCAACATTGGTTATTTTCAGACATTTTTAAATTTTGCTATTATTTGTTTGGGTGTGTATTTATTCAATTATGAATTGGATGGAGTCTTTTCTAAATTTTCCGTTGGGTTTTTCATCTTATCGAGTTGTTGGAAGTTTTTAATTAATACAGTTACTCTTTGTCACAAAAATATTTTTCCATTATGCTAATAGTCTCTATCTCATTGATTTATTTTTTTAAATACTCTATTGTGTAGGATTAGATTCAGACATAGGTAATAGAAATCCGAATAACATGTGGTTTAAACAAGATAGAAGTATATTTTTCTCTCACTTAAACGTGTGAAGATACCCAGGCACCTTCTGGCTTGTTCAGCCAGACGTAGTTCCTCCACCTCACATAATAGAAACTAGAGTTCTAGCCATTTGCTAGTTCCAAGCAGAGAAATGTGGGAGTGGAAACTTGACACTTTGATCCCCCCCATTTAGGAGCTTCCTGAAAGCCCTACCCAGTACATTCTGCTTATATCTTATTTGCCGGACATGTGTTATTTGGCTACCCTTATTTGCACGGGGAGGTGGGGGTGAGGGTGAGGCACAGTGGTTAAGTGCTCAACTGCTAACCAAAAGGTCGGCAGTTGGAACCCACCAGCTGCTCCATGGGAGAAAGATGTGGTAGTCTGCTTCTGTAATGATTACAGCCTTGGAAACCGTATGGAGCAGTTCTGCTCTGTCCTTTAGGGTCACTATGAGTTGGAATCTGCAGTGGGTTTGGTTTGGTTTGCTTTGCTTTGCCCAGGAATGTCCCTGAGTGGCACGGACAGCTAATGTGCTTGACTGCTAACCAAAAGGTTGGAGCTTTGAGGCCACCCAAGGGGAATTTGGAAAAAAGGCTTGGCATTCTACTTCCAAAAAGTCATCCATTGAAAACCCTATGGAGCACATATATGGGGTCTACTCTGACATACGTGGGGTCACCATGAGTCAGTCAACACAAAGGCACCTGTTTTTTTGTTTGTTTTTTACTTGCAAGGGAGACTGAAAAATATAGTTATAGCACCAAACAAAATTGTTTTTGTTAGTAAAGAAGTGGAGGAGACTGGAGATACGATAGGCAGCTAACAGAGTCCATGAATAAATTTATAAATTTTTACCTATATGGCTTTGTGTTTCTAAGAACTTGGTTGTGAAAAGTGAGGTAGCAGTGAGTTAGCATTGAGCTTTTGGTTCTTTTTTTTCCTTTCAACTGGAAAGTTTATTAAATAATCCTTTTCCTTTTCCCTCTTGGCTTGCCATCTTTATTTACTACCTATTAAATTCTCAAAAATGTTTTCTCTTTTTGTTCTCTGTGGTTTATCCATTCATGTTTGACTCTCATTTAGTACCAACTTTTCTAAACCCTGTGATTTTGTCACCTCTATAAATTAAGGTTAATCCCCACCCACATCATTTTCAGTAGTTTCTTGACAATTACTAGAGAATTATTTTTACAGATGAACTTTAATAGCTAATATCTGTATTACCTCTTAACTTCCTCTCCAAAAATCTTTTTTTTTCAATTGAGAGAATTGAATGTATTGGTTAATGTCTTGGTTTCCTAGGGCTGCATAACAAAATATAGCAAAGTAGGTGGCTTTAAGTAACAGAAATTTATTTTTCACAGTTCTGAGAGCCAGAATTCCAAATCAGGGTCTCAGCTATGTCTGTTCCTTCTGTAGGCCTCTCGGCTAGTTTCTGATGGCTGCTGGCTCTCCTTGGTGTTCCTTTGCTGTTTATAGATGGCGTGTGCTTTCGACATGACATGGTGTCTCTCCTGTGTGTGCGTGTCTCTCCATGTCTGCTGTTTTCCTGTTTTATAAGAGACCACTCAGAAGGGATTAGATTTAGGACCTACCCTACTTTGATATGACATCACCAGCATAAGAAAAGAAACTCCTATTCCCAAACAGGTAGGGGGTTAGGACTTTAACATAACTTTTTGAGGACTACAGTTCAATCCAAAACAGTTCATTTAAGAAGAAAATGGACAACTTTCTAAAAAGGCATTTGTCTCCCTTGTGTCCCTCTGTTTTAATATTTTCTTAAAGGTCCTTTAAATTTTTAAAATTTATTTTTAGATACCTAGTATTTTTCTATTGTGAATGGGCTCTTTTAATCCATTTTAGTTTCAAATTGTTTATGGAGGAACACTAGTGACTTCATATTAATTTAGCAATCAGCATCTTATGAATTCTCTTAAAGTTTCAGTTGATTGTACAAAGATACAATTATATCTATTGCAAATTATGATAAAATGCTGCTTCCTTTCAAAATTTATCTTATTTGATTTTGTCTAATTGCATTGACTATAAAACAATGTTAAATGATTATGCTGGCTGCATAATTTATTTCTCTTTGTTTCTGATTTATGTAAATTCTTCTAACATTTCATTATGGACTATAGTGCTAGCTTTTGGTCTGAGACATACTCCTAAACTTTTAAAGTTGACAAAAAAGCTTAACTGTAGTTTAGCATTCTTTCTTGTTGCCATTAACAGGACTAGAATGTTGGTTTACAGGGATCATGGAAGGACTGCCCTGGACAGTTTTTGAGTTCATATCACCATGTGTCAGAGTGCCTTAACTAACTGACTTTTTTCGGTTTTGTTTCAGAATGGCCAAAGTTTTCTGGTTTTGGATGAACAAAGATTTGCAAAAGAAATTCTTCCCAAATACTTCAAGCACAATAATATGGCAAGCTTTGTGAGGCAACTGAATATGTGTGAGTATGGACAGCAGTTTACTTGGAGTGCTGCTGTCAACCACAGATTAAACCACTTTTTTCTGCTAGGATGATAAAGGAAGTACCTTCATATTAGCACATTAATTTTTTACCATAGTCCATTTCAGTTGTTCGAACTTTGATTCTTTTTCAGATGGTTTTCGTAAAGTAGTACATATTGACTCTGGAATTATAAAGCAGGAACGAGATGGTCCGGTAGAATTTCAGCATCCTTATTTTAAACAAGGCCAGGATGACTTGTTAGAGAATATTAAAAGAAAGGTGAGTGATTGTTAACATGAATTAAGGCATTGCTAGAATGTCAGCAGGGTAGAATATCAGATCCCTTGAAGTCAGTAGCTCTTGCTGTATAAGCAAGTGCCAGAATAAGTTCCTGGCACATAGAAGGCACTCAGTAATACACTTTTGAATGAGTGCTGTATTTTGCTAAAATAAGATCTTTTTACTAAATTCATAAAAGGGGAGGAGATAAAAAGGATAGTAGACCACGAAAAGCAAGTGGCATAGCTTGCAGTTACTGCTGCATAAATTTAATTAAATGTGGAATGTGATAATAAAGAGACTTGAGGGAGTTACAAATTGTTAGAAAGGGGAAAAAAGCCCCTAAGAGGTTCCTGCTAATGGAAAACTCTCCACGTTAAAATATACATATGTAATATATGTATATAAATATATATATGTATGTATATGTATGTATATTTGTGTATATGTGTACGTATGTGTTAGACTATTCCTCGCTTCCTCCGCCTTTAAGCTATGAAGTTTATTCTTTCCCTAGAATCCTATCCTGGGCTCTTAGGAACCAGATCTCTCTTCCTGAACAGGCTACAGAAACCTCTTATAATAGGAAAGCTTTGATTACAGTCATGTTGTTTGATATTTGTTATACTTTCTAAATTTGCTTTTTGAAAAGGTTTCATCTACAAAACCAGAAGAAAATAAAATTCGTCAGGAAGATTTAACAAAAATTATGAGTAGTGCCCAGAAGGTTCAAATAAAACAAGAAACTATTGAGTCCAGGCTTTCTGAATTAAAAAGGTAAAGTATTATTTCCATATATAATCCTATAGGGGATTTCAGGGGCGTATGTGTGTGTTGGAGGTTGGAAGTTGTCTGTTGTTTTAAGTACTTAGATCACTGGGTGGTGCAAATGGTTAACATGTTTGGCTGCTAACTGAAAGGTTGGAAGTTTGAGTCCGCTAGTAGGCACCTCAGAAGAGAACGCCTGGCGATCTACTTCCAAAAATTTAGCCACTGGTAACCCTAGGGAGCACAGTTCTAGTCAGACACACATAATGTCTCTGTGAGTCAGAGTTGACTTGACAGCGACTGATTGTTATTGTTGTAGATCACTTTGCTGAAGCCAAGATCAAAGGTTGTTTCTCTACAAGGATTGATTCCCTTTATTTTGATTTGTGACCATAGACTTTTCCAAATATTAATGTTTTCATGATGTTGGTCAAAAGAATATATAAACCTAGGTGCATCAAAATGATTTGATGCATAAATCTTTACTAATCAGAACCAGACATCTTTAAGTAGGTGTCAGAAATATGGTTCTACTTAATTTTCACAGGATCTTTACACACAAATGAAGATGCAGAAGCCATAACAAATTCTGCGTATATTACCCATTCTTTCTTTTGTAAAGATTTCTTAAGACTTCTCTATAACTTACCTTGAAGGAAAAAATAGGACTGTTCCACAAGAGACTTGCCCGACTTGTTAAACTTATTTTACATAAACTCGGGAGAGTGTTATTCAAACCTTTTATCTAGAAAAAGATGCTTTATTTTGTTTCACTACAAGTCCTGGCAGCACCATTATCTTAACTTACCACGGTAATAACTTGCCTATAGAATAGATGTGTACTTCCCTTAATAAGTAGCTGGGATTTTTCCTTATCCTAATCGGTGACCAAGGATTTAAGAGTAGGTATTAGTACATTCTCTCTCCCCTTCAAATGTGGAACATTTGTTTAGCTGTTCTTAACTCAATATCTTCCTTAAAAAGTAACCTTGGACTTTGATTCCCTTTTTGATGAAAAAGCCCTAAATTGTTCCATTTTTCACATTATTAACAGTGTTTATTGTGTGTATCTTCGGTCGACGGAGGCACCCTTTGACCCAATTCTTTGGAGCTCAGGTTTAGCTCTTAAAAAAAGGGATCTCAAAATCATCTTGTAAGTCTTAGAGATAGCCATTTTCCTACTTATCTTTAGTAGGTACATGACTGCATCTTTAAAATTCAGAGTCATGAAAAGTATAGTAGTTGTTCAGTAAGTATTAAAGAAAGTCTCCTTTTCAATAGCTCTTTGTAAACCCAGGAGTCCCTGTGTGGCGCAAACAGTTAAGTGCTCGACTACTAACTGAAAGGTTGGCATTTAGAATCCACCCAGAGGCGCCTCAAAGATCACAGCCATTGAAAACCCTGTGGACTGCAGTTCTACTGTGAAACACTTGGGGTCATCATGAGTTGGAATTGACTGGTCTGCAACTGATTTGGTGTTTTGTTTTTTTAATGTAAACCCACAGACCCTTTTGTAGTGGTTTGGATTAAGGAAGATCAGATTAACAAAAGAGTGAAAATTAAAACATTTAATATGTGCTTTATATTTACTGCCTTTCAACATGCAGTTTAAAAAATGAATGAATGAAAAGAGTGTTGCTATCATGCAAGTTACTGATTTGTCGTATTATTGATTATGCTTTTTAAAAAAACAAACGTTTAATGGATGAAGCTGGAGGACATTATGCTGAGTGAAATAAGTCAATCTCAAAAGCACAAATATTGTATGAGTCCTCTGTTGTAAAAATTCATGAAAAAGTTTACACACAAAAAGTAACAATCTTTGTTGGTTACGAGGGATGGGAGAGGTTGGGGGGAATACTAAATAGGCAATAGATAAGTGGTATCTTTGGTGAAGGGTGAGACAGTACACAATACTGGGGAAGCCAGCACAACTTGTACAGGGAAAGGTCATGGAAGCTCCATAGACACATCCAAACTCCCTGAGGGACTGAATTGCTGGGCGGAGGCCTGTGGGACCATGGTCTCGGGGAACCTCTAGCTCAGTTGGCATAACAGTTTATAAAGACAGTGTTCTACATTGTACCCTGGTGAGTAGTGTCTGGGGTCTTAAAAGCCTGTGAGCAGCCATCTAAGATATTCCACTGGTCTCACCCCTTCGGGAGCAAGGGAGAATGCATAGAACAGGATACAAGGAAAAGACTAGTCCAGAGGACTAATGGACTACAGCTACCAAGGCCTCCACCAGACTGAGTCCAGTACAACTAGATGGTACCCGGCTACCACCACTGACTGCTCTGACCGGGATCACAACAGAGGGTTCTAGACAGAGCTGGAGAAGGATGTAGAACAAAATTCTAACACACACAAAAA